TTTTGGTATTTATTGCCATGAAATAAACTATTTTGGTCATGATTTAAGATTGATTTATGGTTGTGCATGCTTGCTACAACATGGAAATAGTGAGTAAAGCGCTCTGGCCTTGATGCCCTGATCAAGTGAACCTCTAAATGGTGGAAACTTTCAGGAAATCAAGTGACGGGCGGTGAAATCATGAAAAGTCAAATTGGTTGACTTAGGGAATAAGAAACCTTCCCTGCATAGTAAATTGCATCGAGTAAGTGTCGCGTTTAATGAAAGTGTGCTTACCTATTAGAAATTACTCGGTGGGCGAAACCCTAGGATCGAAGTTATCCAAAAATAGGGATTAATATAAGAATCAGAAGGAATACCTTCAGTATTACCTGGTACACCTTAATTCTGAGATAATGGAATGAAGGGAATGAAAGTTTGAATTGCCCAATTAAATCAATATGTAGTTCGAAACGTAAGAGAGTAAGCCCTATTAGATGGAAGGTAGGAATACACTGCATACCTCCTTACTATACTTAGTCTTAAGAGAAGGTGGCAAATAATTTCTGGAAACTACCTTATTGGACATAGTCGTATTAGAAGGAGGTAGAAACTACCTTAAAACCTTGCATTGATGGGCAGCGAGTTGTTGATTATCAAATACGTTCGAAATACTAGTTAGGCTAGAGTTTTTTCAAAAACTTCGATGTCATAGATTCATAGCTCCTATTATTCTATGTGGCTCGTACCTTTAAGCTAATAACTTATATGTTATTGTGAAGCTAGCTATGATTCGTTTCTTGAGTCTTACGGATTAGTATATATATATAAAGATGTTAGTAGGATAAAACTAAAGATAATCTACCTTGTAGAGCCGAGTAGACCCATAAGATAGGTGGATTTATTGAGTTTAGGAATCTCGCGCAATTGTTGTTGATACTTTTAGGTGGTTCGAGGGAGGACAAGACGACCTGAGTCTGATGACGATGTTTTAGTAACTTTTTGTCTTCCACTGTATTTTGGACGATATTTTATATCTAGCTTATTATCATGAATTTAGGCCATGTTTTGTGATTGACTTTGTACTTTGTACATGAACATGATGTGCATCGATCACTTATTTATGATTTTCAGTACCATATTTAATACTTATTACATATTATTCTACACATGTATGTATGAGGTGTTACAATTGGTACTAGAGTTGGTCTATTCTCGACCTAGCCATGAAACATCATAATTAATAAATAAATAGGATTATTTTCTTCCCGTATACACGATTGCCATTCTAAACCTAAATATCATACGGTATAGATTTAAGTCTGATCAACTTGATTTTGTGGGTGTATGACATGAAGGTTAAGGTTGACAGACGCAGAACTTGTGGGAGGTCCTAAGCTGAGGCAACACCAAATGTCGAACCCCAAATCGCATGTGGTAATCCATAGGTACCACAGACAAAATTAATGCAACAGATGCAACAACAAAATCACTTCATGACACACATGATGTAGAATATGCAGTATCAACAAATGGAATAGGTTAAGAAATGAACGTCTAGATTTCTCCTTGGGGAAGTACACAAACTTGACTCCACTAGAGTACCGTGTAAACCGATCCATGTATTAGCTAGTCACATCACCACACATGTAAAAAGAAAGTTATGAAACGTTTATATGATTAGACTATATTTAATGCGTTTATTCCCTACCATTTTTTCATTTGATTCCAACTATTTCATTTCTATTTCACACATGACATATCCTGGAGGTCGACCAACATCACTTAAGGCTTCCCGGAATCCTTTAGTGTCCGAAAAACCTTGGGGCAACTGTTCTTGATCGACCAAAAGCCTAAGAAATTAAGATTCAATTCATCTCAAACCCACTCCATATAACCCAAGGTATAAAATTAGTTCACATACAAAGAACAAAGTACACTCTTTGATAGGGATGTCAACGGGGCAAGGAATGCGTGAAGGATGCTTCCCCGCTCCCGGCCCTGCCCCCAAATATTTTCCCCATCCCCGATCCCTGCCACAGGGGAATATTTTCCCCCTCATCCTCATAGATCTCCACGAAAATTCGGAGATCCACAAAGATCGAATCTTAACAAAACTTCTATATTTTCTTATCAAAACTATAACACTAGTATTTTTTTTCTTTCTTTCTTTTTAAAAAAACGTATACTTTGAATCTTTATTTAAAAAAAAACACACACATCTTGCATCAATAACAAAAATAAAAATAAAAATACTTGCAGTTACGAAAATATAACCACTAATTTACTAATTGAATGAAAACAAATTACTAACTGAAGTATAATGAAGTTGAAGAGTTATTACCATAAACACAATGAACAAAGAAGAGTGATTGTTGTGATGATGACGAGAACAAAAGAGATGAGAAATATTGAAAACAAAGAAAATTGAGAAAAGAAGAAGAGGAGACGGTGTGTACATTTAATGTAATGGGTGCACTTTTTTAAGGTTGGTTACTTGGATAGTGAAATAATACATTATACAATGAAAAAAAATAATCCATTAGTGATTCTTCATTTCTTAGTATATTAATTAATTTTTATAAAAAAAAATGCAAATTTATATTAATTAATTTTTATAAAAAAACATGCAAAATTATATAATTATATATTATTTCCTCTGGTCTTTAATATAAGAAAAATTATATTGATTTCACACCATACTCATCTTAAATTTTGAAATGACTTAAAAGTTGGAGTGATAATCATAGAGATCCACCTCGCACCGCTATGACAGAGATCAACACCATCATTCAAAATCATTGATTCTTAAACTACACTCATTTATGATTCTTAAAAAGAACATAACTTTTAAGTTAAATCCCGAATCTAGTAACGGATAGATATTTAAGTATTTTTAACTATTTAGTCAAGACTTTGATCAATTAAATAAAAACTATTAAAATATCAACATTTTAAATGGATATCAATTATTTCGAAAGATTTATCTATTCAGTTACGCGAAAAAAATACACTAATTTAATAAAGAGAAATAGTAAACAATATAAATCCTTGACCTCATAATTAATTCAATTAGTTCCCAATTAAAATTTTATAAATATGTTTGCATAAATTGTATATTTACATCCTCAACTACAAATACTAATTTTAAACTCTGCCTAATTTTTTTTGACAATGTGACATTCTTGGTTTTTGAATTGAGACTGTTGGTTATATATAAAAAAGTATATATAAATCATCTTATCCAAAAGCTTTTAGTCTCATAGTAGATATAATACCTCTTAAAATTTTATCTTTTTAAAACCAATTATTTGTAACAACTAATCATTTTGAAACTTGAAAGGGCAGTGCATGCAATTGTGAAACACAAATTAATAAAGTGATTACCCTATAAGCATTTGCATAATCCATTTTCCATGAGGGATGAAAGTAGTTGTGAGTTAGTTAAATTTGTTCAACACTTTAAACTTTTTCTTTGACCTTCAATCATATTACTCACTTTTTAATTTAAAATTAATTTTCTTACAATGTATTCAAAATATATATTGAGGTAGGCACATTGGATTGCTATTATACGACTCTAGAAACAAATATTCAATATGAAAACCTATTGGTATTATATATGAACATGCCTTGCTTGAAGTTCTAAATTCTAGAAACTATACAATGTAAGAATTTTAAAGAAACGTGTCGTTGTCTTTTTGCTAACGTGTGACCATGACATTCTAACAACAATAATCGTAATATCTTTACCTACCGAACATTGGGAAATGTATCAAATTAGGTCGTATGTATTGTTAATATTAGACATGGTAATATGTGCTAAATACACCCCCTTTGAAGTATTAAAGAAATGTTATATTGTATGGAATTGTGTTAGAGAATGAAAGGTGGAGGAAGGAGATACATACATGTTTGAAGAGGTTAGTTAGGGAAAGAATGTTTTGTTTAACATTGGAATTGAAAGTCAATAGGTAGGCAAGTTACTTGAACTATAATTAATTTAAGACATATACGACAATGATTAAAGCATTTTTAAAATATATGGAAAATATATTTTTTTATTTCATTATATTATCTGATCCACTGGATCGACTAATTTGATTTACATCATTTATGACATTAATATATTTTATTTTAACCCATCATTTTTCATGGGTCGAATCGTTATTTTAATTGACCAGTCTTTATTTTGATTGCCCTACTCTTTTTTAAATAAAAAATAAATGATAAATTTGAAAATTAGTAAGTTTGAATTTGGGTTTATTGTGATCATAATGACTAGAAAGATTAATACTATAGTTGCACACAAAATATACAATTTATACACAAAAGTTATTATGATTAGGAAAGGATAACACACCTTTTATGTTCAATAACATAATTATAAAAATCATGACATAATTATAAAAAATTACTAATCATTTTTTATTTCTATTTTAATATATTTTGTGGTGCTGCTAAGTCATAACTCAGATATGGGTGCCAATATAGTTTCTTTTAGGCAAGTGGTACCAATATAGTTGATATGTCATTTTTTTCTCTACAATAATGTCTTTATGATTTATGATTCAATAGTCTTTTTATTTATAATAATATTTATTTAAGTAATAGTTAAATATGTAGATTAAATAACAACATGAAGACTAATTTCACATTCATAAGTAATATTAGACATTAATTTTAAAGGTAAAATTAAAATTAAGTTCCTTAATTAATTCTAGAGATTTATTTTATGGTGGCTTACAAAGAATTCGAGTACTCACTATAAAATAAAATTAAAAAAAATCAATATTTTCATACATATTTGATATTTCGTATAACTCTACACTACCATCTACATTCAAGTGATCAAGAAGTCAAGGAATCTCACACAAGTTCTCAAATAAGGTAGTAGGTGAAACTTCACACACTATAAAAATTTTCATCAATCACTTATTTTTTTTCCCTATAGCATTAATCATTAACATTTATATGTCGTTTTTCTCACTTCTTAGGTACATTACACAAAATCTATATAGATGACTACAAAAAAGATAACATGGAAATCCATGATCTTGATCTTAAATTGTTACAAGAGTAAATACCCTTTGGAGGAATCAAAGAAACAAGTTTTGAAACAAGGTTCTTTTCAAAGACTATGTTTATCAGATATAAGCAATTCAAGTTCAACTCAAGCTATTGAAGATATTTCAGTTTCTTTTGCTGGCTCTAAGCTTCATGCATTCACACTTGAGGAGCTTAAAGAAGCAACACATGGTTTTTCATGGAGTAATATGTTGGGTGAAGGCGGTTTCGGTCCGGTTTATAAAGGTTTTGTTGATGATAAGGTTAGACAAGGCTTAAAGGCTCAAACTGTTGCGGTTAAATGCTTGGATTTGGATGGTTTGCAGGGTCATAGAGAGTGGCTGGTTAGTTTTCTTAAACACGCTTTTCGCTTATTAAGTGTATGTTTGAATTGACAGTGAATTTGACAGAATCACATAGACACAGTGTGATTCTGATGAAGCTCTAAAATATAGGTTCTATCAGAATCATAATAGTTCATAGTTATTTCGTGAATTTCTTGGTTGATTTAAACATATGCTACGATTTAAAATTGTCAAAATTGTTTAGTCGCGTGATCGATTTTGAACATATTTTTATTTTCTAGGCAGAGATTATATTTCTCGGACAGCTAAGGCATCACCATCTTGTGAAGTTAATTGGATATTGTTGCGAAGATGAACATAGGCTTTTGGTGTATGAGTACATGCCAAGAGGTAGCTTGGAGAGTCAACTATTCAGAAGTATGTTTCTTTTCTAAATCTTGAGTTTGAATGATAGAAAAGTATTGTAGCCGCGATGTATCCGTAATTGAATTTTGTTTTGAATCTGAGGTTGATGTTCTAACATGTTACAAGCAGGATATGCTGCTGCTATGCCATGGTCAACAAGGATGAAAATTGCATTAGGTGCTGCTAAGGGTTTGGCTTTTCTTCATGAAGCAGATAAGCCTGTAATATATAGAGATTTCAAAGCTTCAAATATCTTACTAGACTCTGTATGTTCTTCTATTTTCACTTTTGTTTGCTTCATATTTTCACATCAGGTGAATGATCATATTAGGAAACTAACTTTTTTATATCTCCTTTAAAATTTAGGATTATACGGCTAAACTCTCGGATTTTGGACTAGCTAAGGATGGTCCGGAAGGGGGAGAAACACATGTCACAACGCGCGTAATGGGAACTCATGGTTATGCTGCTCCTGAGTACATCATGACAGGTTTTTACACTACATAAAAAAATGTTAACCTAGTTTCTCGTACATCAGCCACATTTGACTGGTTCGATTCTCCGCAATATCAAAGATCAGGAAAGGGCCAAGTCAAATGTGGCTGATGTTGATGTAGTCACAAACATGGTCCTAAAGACATCAAAACTTTGATGTATAGGCCCAAATCACGGCCGTGGAACTTTTATAACAAAACGCGCCTAAAACTAATTCTAATCTTTGTGCCGAATTCAAGATTTTCGTGATCTTTTTTCTTGAAAACCGGAGGGTTGAAAATAGTTAACTCTTGCATGATTGATTATGTATAGGTCATCTTACAACAAAGAGTGACGTGTATAGCTACGGAGTGGTTCTATTGGAATTGCTTACCGGAAGAAGGGTAGTGGACAAGTCCTTAGAATCAAAAAGAGGCAAGAGCTTGGTAGAATGGGCAAGACCTATGTTGAGAGATCCAAAGAAACTTGACAGAATCATAGACCGTAGACTCGAAGGACAGTTTCCTATGAAAGGAGCTTTGAAAGTTGCTATGTTGGCTTTTAAATGTTTGAGTCATCACCCAAATCCAAGACCTTGTATGAGTGATGTTGTTAAGATTTTGGAAACACTTCAAGATTTTGATGATGTTTTTGTAGGTCCATTTGTTTATGTTGCTGTAAGTGAAAATGGTGACAAAGATCAAATATAGGACTCTTATGTCTGTTTCAGTTGTTGGATAAAGATTAGACAGTACACATTGTGATTTTGATAGAACAAAAAGTCAGAATCTCAATCAAGATGTTTGAGATGCAAATAAATATTACAACTTGGAAACTCATGTGGTCAAGAGTGGTATAAGTTTGATGATGTACAAGGGCTTGAAACAAGTTTTTGTGCTGGTGTTGTTACACATGTTTGGATTGTTATAGTATGGAGACTACAAACTCTAGTATAGAATACACAAACTCATCAAATTTGTTCATAATATATATGACAAAATTATTGTTGGATTGTGTTTGTCATTTGGGATTTCAAATCAGTTTGATAAATGTGAATAGTTATTGTTGTTTTTCCATCAGGCATATTTAGGGGTGGGCATCGGTTCGGGCCCAAAACCCTAAACCGGCCCAACCATCGGGTGAAAAAATTTAGTTCAATTCCTTCCGGTTCAGCGTCAGTTTTTTTGAATTCGGATTTGAAATTCAGTTTTTTAAAGAGTTAAAGGCTTTACAATAAACTTCATGCCTAAACTTTGTTTCCTTTTCTAAAAGATAATTCAACTGAATATTCTCTAGAATAACTTCCAAGTGCTTGTTCAACAACTTTACAATATCATAATATTGAATCTGGATGAAAACAAAATTGTGATATAAAATTCCATCAGTATTATACGCCCAACCAATAAGTTCATGTGAGTAAGAATTTAATAAGGTGTAATTAGTAGGCATTTAGGTGGTTATGATATGAGAATGCCTAAATTTTTGACAGAAACAGATTTCGAACAATACAACACCAACCCACATATGAGTGTAATCACTATATGTTTAACTTCTTATTTAACAAAAGAAATCAACCTCTTCTTTAACTACTTTTTCTCTTCAAAAAGTCTCTTCCTACTATTTCTTAAGTATAAAACAAAACTCAGTAAGACAGTAACTCAGCAAACAATTTATAAGTCCTTTGCTCCGAACCTGAACAGGCCATTTCATAATCAACAAGACAAATAACTTCATAAGCATTTCATAAAAGTGAACAGGCTTAAAAGAAGTAAAATATATAAAGTAAAAGAAGAAAAATAATTTCATAAGTATTTCACTGAATCTGAACAGGTCAGCTAGTATTTCACATTGCAACAGAAGAAAAAAAAGTAAATTTTTGAACTAAATTAAACTTACTATTTCAAAAGTGCGTTGGATCAAAAGTTTCTTGAAATTCTTTCAAAAAGAGGTTAGTTAATTATGTTATGCATGATTTTAAAGTAACGAGTCATTGATGACTCCAAAAATTTCAGCAAATGGCTGCTGCAAATACAATAGAAAAAATTAGAATACATACTTAATTTAACAAATATGAAGAAAAATACAATGGAATTTAATCTTGATTTGTTTTAGGCACAATCAGAAGGTTGTGAATGAATCAGAGAGGATGGCGGAGCTCCACTTCTAGCTGAAGCTTCATAGTACATTTTAAAAAACAATTAGCAACATATTATATAACAAATTTAAAAATTACACTTAAGTTAAATATAAACAATATACCTTAATATAAACAATATACCTTCTAAAGCATCTTCAGAAATTTCATACTCTTCATTAAATTCAAAATCTTTGATTTGATAAAAGGAAGGTCTCAATTAGTTCTTAGCATAAATAAGAGCCTCTACCATTTCAAGTTTGAGAGAGTTTCTATATACTTTTAAAACCCTCTCACCCATGCTGAAAACACTCTCAAAAGTCACAGTTGAAACTGGCGTAGGCATGATATCTCTAACAATTTAAGATAGAACTGGGTATTGACCAACATTATGTTTCCACCAACATAGAATGCCAAACTTATCTTTATTAATTCTTTTCATTAAAAGCTAAGCATTTTCCTCTTATATAGCTCTGAAGCTTTGTTTCTTCTTCCACATAATCCATATACATCAAATGTTGCTGAAAAGCATTTTCTCTAGCTAAATGTGACGGTACTTCAACGCCAGCCGTTGTTTCACCATGAGAAACAATGGTTGCCAGAGATGGGACAGAGCCTTCAGCAGTGTCATATGCTTGTTTGTCAACCATGAAAATTCTTAAAAGATTGTTATTGATATCTTTTAATAAGAATTTTTTAGCATTTGAATCTTTTCCATACATATCATCGAAGCACCATTCCACAAATCTTAACTTATACCGAGGATCAAAAATAACACCCAAACCAATCCAATAAAAGTCCATTCATGTTTCTTATTTTCTGCTCTAAATATTTAACAACAACATCATTTGATGCCGCATTATCTACCGTGATAGTTGAAACATTTCTCAGTCCCCATTCCTTCAACACATCCTCAACCTTCTTACCAATTGTTTTACCTCGGTAATTTGAAATAACCGTAAAGTTAATTATCCTTTTTTGGTATTTCCAATCCCTATTTATAAAATGGACTGTGAGGGTCAAGTAATTTAAATTTTGGACAGATCTCCAATAATTTGTTGTAATTGTCACCCTACTACAATCAGACTTAAAGAATGTTCTCAACCTCACTTTTTCATCAAGATATAACTGAAAATAATCCCTAGTTATGGTTCTCCTTGATGGTATAGTAAATTAGGGTTGCATTTGCTTAAAAAAGTACTTGAATCTCTCTCCTGCAACGGTAATAAATGGTTTCTCATCTAAAATGATAAAATAAGTCAACCCTTTTCTACAACCTAAAAGATCAAGCCTAAAACTTGTTGGAACTAACTATTGCGGTGAGAATAGGATATCAAATTATTAATTAATTTGAATCGCAAATCTTTAATTCACAACCGGTCTTTAATTTATCCGAAGGAAAGGTCAAAGAAAGGAAAAACCTATTTTGCATCGTAAACACAATGCGGGGAAAGATCTAGGTTCGGGGGTTGGTTAAGCTTAGGGAAGGTATTAGCACCCTAAACTTCTGTAGTACTCTACAGGAACCTCTTGTTTTAATGTTGCTATTTTGCTATAATTATCTGTTTAAGGGTATATGCTAAAGGTTAAAAGTTAAATAAAAAGACCTAAGGGTTAGTCCTAAGTTTACTCCCCAAAACTCGTATCTTGTGCTTACGTATCCGAGGTAGGGGATGGAATTAGAGTAATCGTAGTTCTCCTCGAAAGGGAGGAAGAGAAACTTCTTGACGGTGGTCAAGGTTTCAATGGGGAGTAAGCGTTCTTAAGGAAGCGCTTACGTGGAGTGCGGCGACTCCTATTTCTACGTTGTAATTGAATTGAAAAGGATAAAATAGGTATTCCATGGCGGGAAACCTAATACGAAGTGCGGCGACTCCTTATTCTAATGCTAGGGTAAAGGGTAATTTGGTCCACGGCGGAATGCCTAAAAAATATGAGTATGACGACTCAGAGTTTCTAGGTTTGAAAGATGAAAAAGTCAAAGGTAAAGACTATTGACGCGGCGGTCAAACGACTAGACCTATTCCTTCGGAGGGAAATTTAATGGTGAATCATGCAAATAGCAAATTAAGCGGCGGTATTGAAATATGGAAAAATGCAAGAATAACGAAATAAAAACGACGATATCCTCGCATAAATTACATTTGTGAAAAAAATGCAAGAATAATAACGAAATAAAAGTGACGATGCCCTCGCATAAATTACAACAAAAAAATGAAATGCGAAAAGTGCGACGAATTAACAAACTGTACATATGAGAAACATGAAAAGAACGACATAAGCGTTAGACAAAAATAAACGGAGCAATGTTACGGAGGCAAATTCGCGCTTGGGTGAGAGTTCAAATCGAACTGAAAGTAAGATGCTAGACCAATTTTTAAGTGTTAGAAAATGTTTTAAATTTGAAAAATAAGTTTAAATTTGAAAAATAAGCCCTAATTTGATTATAAAAGAAAAATATGTGCGAATACTTTTTTTTTTTTTCATGTTCTAATGAGTAATCACCAATAGAAATTATACTTGTTTCACAAAACCAAAAAAGAATAATTAAAAATTACCAAAAAAGAAATAGACAAAAAATTCGTTTCAATTTCACTTTTGTTTTCCTTTTCATTAACCGGTGAATCACTTAACTGGAACTAAGAACAAACAAGCTGATCGGCGATCGAGAACTTCTCCTGCTCAATGGCGACCTCCGTCGCCGTCGGCAGCAGTTTAACGGCGTACGATCGCGGTATTCTCACAGCAGTGAACGTCGGCGCGTCGAGCCTCTCTTTGGCTGGTTCCACCTTCATTGTACTATGCTACCTTCTCTTCAAGGAGCTCCGCAAGTTTTCCTTCAAGCTCGTTTTCTATCTCGCACTAGCAGTATGCATCCTTTTCCTCCTCTCAGATCTATAACGCTGTGTTTTGCTTTGAACTATTGATTTGTTAGTTTTACTTTTCGCACAGTTCGAAGAGAAATTTCATGATTAAACACGCTTTAGCTTGTGTTGTTGTTAATCTAGTTACTTAATTTTGTAGTTAGCATATAGTTGTTGCTTCTTATTGACGCACTGAATCAATTAGATTTTGGAATGAATGACAACAGAAACTAGTATTTGGAGATTTATCAGTTAGGTATTCACTGCGCTGAAGATAGGTTTAAGCAAATTCACTAAACTTCAAATGTAATTCTAACTAGAGCATGAATTTGGTTAGGATCATGGTTCTAAATTGCTGTCGTGGTTGTGGTTACACTGCAAACATTGATATTGAAGCAGTATGCTACGAATGCGGCTGATGCAAATGCAATTATAGTTTTAGAAGTCTCTAATACTTTTTTATTGTGGTTGTAGACCGCAAATTAGAACTATTTAATGGTCAAGAACATTAGCTTTACTTACACCGAGTTTATTTAAGAACTACTTAATCCTAAGATTGGATCTCGGCAAGGCTGTTTTGACTCCATTTTAGTCTAATTTCTGTTGTATTATGTTTTACTTTGTTATTATAATATTTAGGAGTCCTAAAATATCTTCTTATGTTTTTAGGAATGTTAGTTATGTCATGCGCCAGTGATTAGAGTAAGCTTCTCTATTCAATATGTTGTAAAACTTATCAGATGTTACCTTCTTGTTATTGATTTCAATGGCGGTGGTAACTTATAAAATCTACATTTGGTTGATGAAAACTGTTAGGTTTTAAGTAAACATTTTCGAGTCTAGAAGATACCAATTTTTGTAATCTTTCTTGTTATTTGCTTCCCTTAGTCACTTTAATTTGAATTTATACGTTGTTTTACAATTGAGAAGTAGTTTCTTTAGGAATCTGATAGAAAACTGAGTTCTTATATGTGTGATGACCCAATCATTGAGGTCAATCCACATCACCACAGCTTCTAGAAGCTGTAAGAATAATAGTCAGTTAGAGTATTCCCTGATTTTAAGGGATTATTCTGTTATAGAAGAAAGGGGAGGGAAATGAGTAACCATTCAGAAAGTTTGTTAGAAAGTTGTTAGGAGAGTTACTCTCTGGTTTAGGAGCAATTCTGCTCTGGTTTAGGAGTTCATAGAACTCGGTTTACATTTTCTGTTTCATCCATCATTATCAGAACTTTAAGCTCAACCATTTGGAGTAAACAATACTCAGTGTTCATCTAATTTTTCTGGTTTCTATCAGAATCATAACTAGTATGTCTGTTCCTTTGCATTAGATGATCAGCTATTGCATTGGTCTTGTCATGTCCTCTTCTTCTATGCCATAATGCTCTTTGATGACACTTTCGCCTGTTGCAGGATATGCTTTGCAGTTTCTTCAGCATAATAGGGTATACTTGCAAGATCAAAAGTGCAACTTTCTTCAAATGTATGTATCAACTGAAGCTGTTCGTCTTGTGATTGATAGACGTTTCATTTTGATACAGGGACCCATCCAAAAGTTTCTTTTGTTATGCTCAAGGATACAGTTCACATTTCTTTTGCGTGGCATCTTTCCTTTGGACAACAACAATTGCTTTTACCTTGCACCGCACTGTTGTAAAACATAAAACAGATGTTGAAGATTTGGAGGCCATGTTCCATTTATATGTCTGGGGTATGCATCTATTGATGAATCAGTCTTTAATATTGTATCTTGGAGAAATGACCCGTTTTTACGATAATCTCCATGTCCTGTGAAATCCCAATCCCGTGATATTTAATTTTTAAATGAATTTCTTGTACGAATTGATGCTGATGGAATGGCTTTGGCCTATGGCTATATATAAATAGTTGGACCTTCAACTACAGTCTTGATTTTGTCCAATTCCATTAGCAACATGCATTGAAGAGAGCTCCTTTGACGTTTTTATTCATAACTTTTTATAGGTACTTCCCTGGTTATGACAGTCATGCGCTCCTTTGGTAATGACCACAGACATCATTTTGGTACATTGTGTTGGACTCAAACAGGTCGCACAGGGAAGGCAAGTTGTAATAGGATTTTTTTCAAAATTCATTTCCCCCCATTATTTTTGTAAATTCATTTTCTACCTCATTAATATGGTTTTACTGTTAACTCATTAAGAGAGGCACCGCCTATGTTTCTGAAACTTTGGATTGCATATATTCTACTGCATTTGTATATTTATTTTGCTAATCAAAATACTCTAGTAATTTTTCCTTCACCTGTCGTCTAAAAATATGTTCCTTTATCTATGCAGGCAGTTCATTTTATTACATTTTACATGCCACTTTGGGGTGCAATTCTATATAATGGGTTTACATACATGCAAGTAATACGCATGCTGAATAATGCAACCCGGGTATGTAGCTGATTTTGCTGTTTCCTTTTCAAACTAAACAAATAGCTTGTTCAGTCACTTTCTGAGACTGTTTCTTGTAAAATTTCAGATGGCAGTTGGCATGTCAGGCCAATCTTATGTCTCAGATACAAGAGACAACATGAGGGTATATACGTACTATTGTTTTTTTATTTTTTATGTTTTTGTTAGAATTTGTTGAATTCAAGTGAGTGGTTAAGCCCCACATCGACTAGAAATGGAAATGTTAGATTTATAAGAGAAAATACCCATATACCGAATGCCTTAAGGTTTTGAATGAATATGTGGTGTCTTGGATATGCAATGCCTTATAAAATACCACATGAAATAAATATCATATAAACCTTTTTAGAGTTTATTAGAAGATCTCTTGGAATTGTTTTTCTTTTTTCCAAATATTTCATATTTTATTTCTGGATTTAATTTTAATTGGTGAGTCTAGTAAAACCGAAAATAAAAGAAAATCACTAGATAAGCTTTCAGTTATACCTAGCTACTTTCAATATAGTCATCTTTTGTGCCTTTCATATTTCACCTGTTACGTTTTTTTGTGTGGCATGCCCATTGTAATATGTGTATTTTGTTCAAATGCCTTATTTGATCACTTTGGGAATGAAAGGAAATTTTCGCAGATGTTTCTGTCATAATGTATTCCTCACATTTTTCACTGAAAAAGATAAACATTTAACACTTTTCTGTGGTTTCTAATGTTGTTTAGAGATGCGCAACTCTTACATTTCTTTGTTTGGATTTTCACAAGTGTATTTACATCCATGCTTGAACCAATGTATTGTTTGCATGTAGTATCTATGTTGCAATTGATCAATACTTGAATTTGGATTTTTCTTTGCAGGCTCTGAATCGATGGGGATACTATCCACTAATTCTAATAGGATCATGGGCTTTTGGCACTATTAACCGAATTCATGATTTTCTTGAGCCTAACCACAAGATATTTTGGCTCTCATTTCTTCATGTTGGAACGGCTTCTCTTATGGTAACTACAAATATCCATATTGTTTCCAGCTTTGTCTTCCTTACTAATCTTTTGTCGGTTTTACTCATCTTGTAAGGCCCATTTGTTAACGTTTTACTTTCTTGAATAATCCGGAATATCACATCTTCCCTAACAATATCTTAATAACATATTCAAATGCATTGATTTGTTATCAAGGTGCATCTGAAATAGTTGATATTTGATATATTTACACAATCGACTGGGATGTGAAAATCCGGGTATATGGCTTGTTCAACGTTGTCCAGTTGTCCAGTTGTCCTGATATTAAAAAAAAAAAGATAATAAGTTCAACAATGTGTGCCTTGCTGACATTCTACTGACTCATAAGGGGTATTTCCCAGTGTTTGTGTACTCCAAGTGCAAAAAGTTAGTGTCTAGGTTTTGTAGTGGTTTGATACAATTCAATTTAAACAGCATACAGCATGCTATCATGGGTCATTTGTTTTTCTTTGCATTTGAACTTAAGGGGGTGAATTCTTGCAATTTAAACACAAGTAGACCGGGATAAAATCACAATAGTTTTAGAGGATATGGCAAGTTAAGAAATTTTAGTTTAAAACCTCACGTCATCCATAGCATAATTGCGAGTTCGTAATTATTATAGACAAGGTAAATGCAGATAATTGCTTTTCATTTTACGGAATTGTTCAATGCCTTTTCAGTTTATGTACTTGGTATCCCTTGGTTCAAATTTGTGTCAAGGGTGAACATCAATTGCTACCTTGTGAAAAGTACAATTGTGGCATCTCGGTAAACTCTCATTTTTGTCTATTTATTGCAGGGCCTCTTTAACTCAATTGCTTATGGCCTCAATTCTTCTGTTCGTCGGGCAATTTGTGAAAGACTGGATAAGTGAGTTCTGATTTTATTCTATTTTTGAAGAAATTTCCAAGTGAATTTTATCATCTCCTCTTTGTGTCTGTAATTCTCTGGGTCGGTCTAATTTCAATATCATCCTCATTACGTATTCCAAACTTGTGCACTCTTTTTGCCGATTTAATTGTTAGCCTTACCTCCTAGACTTTCTGTTTACATGAAAAACTTAAAAGGAGAAGGGAGATCTCTCAAAGAGTAATGATAAAATATCCACGTTGTTAGCTATCCTACATTGGGCAATTTATTGGTCAAGTCTATGAAAGCAGACTTGGACACGAGGCACATAGACACTTGTACTGTCCAAAATATAGATGTCATTTTTGTTCCTTTTCATGTCTAGCTAAATGGAATTGTTGACTAGGTGTCAAAGTCAACTTTCAATGTGTCAGAGCCAAGAAATAATTGTATTCCAACCATTGGAACATTGTCAGACATGTGTTATACTAGTGTCGGATACAATTGATTTGACCATTGGAACATTGTCAGACATGTGTTATACTAGTGTCGGATACAATTGATTTGACCATTGGAACATTGTCCGATGTGTGATCCATGTTAAAACACTCTGACACACCTTCTATTTCATCTCCCATGCTTCACTTATTTCAATGAGAATGTTTTGATGAGACAAAGGTGAAAAGGTGCCTGAGAGAAGGTGCTTTGGGGCTTAGGAATGCATAGGGAACTAAAAGACTCCATTGAGGAAGGACAATGAAAGCGTTGTGGGAGCTGACAGTAAGCCGTGTCAGGCCTTCCGTTTCATTTTCCATAATTCACTTGCTTTAGTGAGAAGGTTTTGATGAGACAAATAGGTGAAAAGGTGCCTGAGAGAAGGTGGTTTTGGGCTTAGGGATGCACTGCATTGAGGAAGGACAGTGAAAGTGTTGTGGGAGTGTAAAATAGGCTGTGACTGCCAACAGAGGTTAAGATTCTGATATAATGCATCACAATCATTTTACATTTTACACAATTTTTATCGTACTGGCCATCTTATGCTTTTAATCATAGCACCTAAAACGTGTCAGTGCATCATATACTTCATGGAATTTCACTTGTGAATCGGAAATTAATTGTCAAATGTCAATTCATGAGCATTTAATTTGGGATTAGTTTAATGCATAAGTTCTGAAGTTCATTTGGTTCTTGTTTTGTTTTTCCATCTCATAATAAATGTAACTTTCATTATTTATTGAAATTGATAGTGGTTGGAATTCACCCTTTGAAGTTAAACAAGTAGGATGTCGTGAGTTCGAGTTCGAACTCGCGCTCTTGCATCTAAATGTGCAACTCTTGCATCTAATGTCCCTGCACTTGTCCCTGCACGGCTACTAAATGATCTTGTTTAATGGGATGAAATTTACCTTTTGTTATTCTTGGTTTTTGCCTACCCTACTTAATAGGATAAGACTTAATTGTAGTGGTTGTTTTTATAATTGTTTTTGCCTTTTGCTAACACATTTAATTAAAATAGATAACCAAATTTGCTTCTCTCTGTCTTGGATGTCAGGTTATGGCCCGAGAGACTGCATAGATGGCTCCCTAACAGTTTTAAGTACAAGAGCTTATCACAAGATAGTGAACTCGCCATGTTCAAAACTGAAGATCAAATATAGTGTGTGGACATAATATTGTTTTATTTGGGCAGTTTTCATGTTTACAGAGTTGCTGGCTGTTTCTTAGACATCACAGGATCCTCGGGCAATGTTACTTATGGGTTTTTTGTTGCTCAATTACATGAAAAATGACTTTCGCACTATGAATTTTATACGCTGGCTGACGATGATCTTTATCAAACTAATCAGAGTATGGACCTATTTGCTTGGATGCTGTTAATATCCTCAAACTGAAGACCATTGTGACTGCAGTGCTTTTATATTCTCTGAAAAGGCTCAACTTCTCATGTTGTCGTGATTCATCTTTTAACAACTCTTAACCGCAAGCTTTAGTGTATATGTTCATGTATCTTATAAATTCTACCATAGAATATTTCCTTGATTATTTTCGTGTTTATAGAGGTAAGGTGCACAATTTCAGAAGAATATTTCCTTGATTATTTTCGTGTTTATAGAGGTAAGGTGCACAATTTCAGATTGTTACAAACTGCTAAACAACTCCCAATTTGACGCTGCCAATATTGTTTTTCTTTATTCATTCTTCTCCTTCACTCTCAAACTCACTTCAATTCAACTCACTTCAATTCATATGGGACTAACTTATTTTGGGAGCCCTTCTCTGTTCTCCCACAGCTGCCATATGATTTGAGGGTTACTCAATGGTGATATAATTAAGCACACATAAACATTTCTGACATTCATTTTCTGCTTACGATTCTAGCAATGCCAATACAGATACCGACCGCTCCATGACAAGAAAAAAGAGAAGACAATTGCTACTTCAATAAGAACCAAGAACATAAAGTTCAATAATTATATTACTAGTATTTAATACCGATGATACAAAATAAAATAATAAAAACAGTCAAGTCACCGAAAATAGAAGAACTACTTAACCAATTGACAACTACTATTACACGAATTGCACAAACTAAGCACATGCACAAGAATTATCAACAACAGCAGCATCTTCTTCACCCTGACTCCTAAAGAAGAAGTAACCAAGAGTTAAACCAACAACAATAGCCACAAAAACCCCTCCATTGAACGACATTATAGCCAACATCAGCAAATACCCAATCGCAGAATTCACACCAAACAAAACCGATTCCGCAACCTTATTTCTAGAAACCTTATTCAACCGCAGAAGAGGAGTCTGAATCTCCGGCACCGGAGATGGCCCATTCCCACCGGAGAAAAACTTGAGCCGAATCCGAATATTTTCCAGATACTGATAGAAAGAAGCAATCAAAAAACACGCGAACAAACTCAGTAGATAACTCGTCCACGAATCGGTCTTCCATGAATCGAATAGAAGTGTCACGTCTTTTCCCCAGTACAGAGTCATGTGCATCATCTTGATAAAATCTCTTCAGAAGTTTCCGATCGGTGCCGGAAAAACAACACAAGGTGTGTTTTGAAAATTTCAAGGGTTTAGAATTTTTTATTTTTTTGTGTGGGTGTTTTTGTAGGGTGTCTAATGAAGTGTCTTTCGTTGTTAGGTGAATCGGTGCGTTGTTACGATCGAAGCTTGCTCTGTCATTTATTACGGTTTTGCCTTTCTTTACTGGATGCACCTTGCCTTTGTTTCGGTTCGATTAATTCAATGCTTCAAAGGTTATATTAGGAATTTCAGAGTTATAGCATGATATGCAATTTCTTTGACCGATGCACAGTACTTCGATTTCTCCGTAGAATTCTGTGGGTTTTCTTGGAAAGCATATTGTTTTTATTTAATTTTTTAATTAAACTTTTAATTAATTTTCTTCATAGAGTAGTCTAAAATAATCTCCTAAAAATTTTACTTACAAAAATCTCTAAAATTGTAGCACTATAAAATTATTTTTCTTTTGCTAAGAATGTCAATTTGTATATTTTAAAAAGGATTTTTGTGGTGATTATGTGTTTAGAGTTTTAAAATTATGAATATTTTCTATGAGAATAAGGATGAAGGGAAAAGTTCTCCAAATAATCCTTTGAAGTGGAGATTGGAGAAGTATTTTTCACCCTGCAAATTTTCCGATTCCAACAATATTATTTAACTTTTATACATAATATATTATATAATATATAATTATATAATGTTGTATGTTTTTTTTTATAAAAATTAATTAATATAATAAGAAATAAAAAGTCATTAATAAATATATTTTTTATTATTATATAACGTATTGTTTCACTGCTCAAGTATTAAATTCTAAAAAAGAGCATCGCTGACATATATTTTACACACACACACGATCTCTTATTCTTTTTTTTTTCTCAAATCTCTGTCTCCTCCATTAGTCATCTTCTTTGTTCTCATCATCATCACAACAATCATTTTTCTTTGTTTATTGTACTTATGCTAATTACTCTTCAATCATTCAATTAGCAAATTAGTGGTTATATTTTTATTAAGATCTTTTAGCCTATTAGTTAGTTGGTTAATAATTGAGTAGTGTAATTACCTAGCTAAAGTTAGTTATAACTAACTTTCCTTCATTCTCACATATATAAGTGGTTTCTTCTTTTGTAATGCTTTGAATCACATCTAATACAAGAATATATGAAGTTTTCCACCATGAATTCATTTTACTACAATATGGTATCAGCATGAAATTCTTGATTTTGCTTCCGCTTCTTTCCTTCTTTCTTTCTTCTTCTTCCTCCTATCTCTTGCTTCGTGATTTGTTTGTCTCATGGCTAACTATGATGATCCCTATTATCTCCATTCTTTCGAGCATCCCGGAGTTGTCTTGGTCTCTCAACCATTGGTCGTAGATAACTCCAATTCATGGCGTTGTGCCATGCTCATGGTCCTTGATGGCAAGAACAAATCTGGGTTTGTGGATGATACCACTCCAAAACCTGCAGAAGATTCTCCTCAGTTTCTTTCTTAGATGCAAAACAATAGCACAATATCTTCTTGGCTCCTCAATTCTGTTTCCAAGGAAATATCTGCAAGTGTGATCTATGTAGCCAATGTTGCAGAAATATGGCGCGAACTGCGCGATCAATTTCCGCAGAAAAATGGTCCTCATGTGTTTCAGCTGAAGAAGAATCTTATGAACTGCACCCAAGGTTCTTCAACTGTAAGTGCTTACTACACACAATTTAAGTCATTATGGGAATAATTAGGTGAATTTAGGTCTACTCATACGTGTCACTGTGGTGGTGTGCAACCCATAGTTGATCATCTTCAAAGTGAGCACACCCTTACCTTCTTGATGGAACTAAATGAATTATTCAATCAGGTGCGTGGTCAAATCGTGCTCATGGATCTTTTACCCTCCATCAATGTTGTTCTTTCAATGGTTACTCAAGATGAGAAACAAAGAGAGCTCACTACCCTTCTTCACAATGAAACCCCTATGGCATGTGCTATTCAAACTGGTTCTAAGAATTCCGAGAAGGAAAGACCAACTTGTGATCATTGTGGCATGCTTGGCCATCTCAAAGGAAAATGCTTTAAGATGCATGGCTACCCTTCAGGTTATAGGAAGACTGCTCAAGGTTCCAAGCCTTTGCAACAAAGCCACAATGTTCATGAGCCAAACATTTCAAGTAATGTAGCAGGATCTGATAAGCCATAACTTCATAGAATATCCAATAAATTATTGACTATTGACAAGCTCAAATGTCAAAGTCTGGGATTTATGAGGCAAATCCTTCTGTTAACTATGTCATAGGTATGAGTTTTTCCACTCTTGACTCATATAATCACAATCTTCTGGTACTTGGATCATAGATTCAGGTGTTACTTCCTGTATTTGTTGCAATATCTCTTTCTTTCATTCCTATAAACCCTTGCTAGATAAACTTGTCACTCTTTCTAATGGAGTTCAAATCCCTGTCAAAGCCATTGGTAAAGTCATTGTCAATGATGAATTGACCTTTCGTAATATCCTATACATTCTCTCATTCCATGTTAATCTCATTTCAGTAGCCAAGTTACTTGTGTTACCTAGTCTACAATTGAATTTTGATGGTCACCATGTTTTCATTCAAGACACCAGACAATCCAAGATGATTGGCAAGGGTAACCTCATTTCAGGATTGTACATTCTCAAGATCAACAACAACAAGCATAATGACAGTTCATATAAGCCTTGTAATAATCTTAGCTATTGTAATACAGTTTCATTCAATAACAGTTTCAAATTATGGCATCATAGATTAAGACATCTTTCTGAATCTATGTTAAGGACTGCTAGCCGTAAAATAAAAATTGTTGTTCCCTCTAATTTTGATTCCAACAAGTGTACCATTTTCCCTCTAGCCAAATTAAAGAGGGCTCCTTTTAAATCTGCTAATAATTTTTCTCCCAATAGTTTTGATCTCATTCATTGTGATTTATGGGGTCCCTTTGAAAAACTACCTATAATGGCAAGTCTTATTTTCTAACAATTGTTGAAATTTCAGTCGTTTTATATGGGTATATTTGATTGCTAACAAATCAGAGGCTCCTATCAAAATCAAACAATTATTTACCATGATAAAGACTCAATTTGGCAAGGTTATTAAAGTTATGAGGTTTGATAATGCCAAGGACTAACAACTGACTCAGTTTCTTCATGAGCAAGGCAACATTCACTAATACTCTTGCCCTTACATACCTGAGTAGAATTTTGTGGTTGAAAGAAAGCATCAACACCTGTTGAATGTGGCCAGATCCTTAATGTTCCAATCCAAACTACTAATTAGGTTTTGGGGTGATTGCATAGCCACAACCACATTCATCATAAATAGAACACCTTCCATGGTCTTGAAAAGTAAGTCCCCTTTTGAGCTTCTCTATGACAAACTACCTACATATTCTGACTTTAAAGTCTTTGGCTGCTTGTGCTACATTTCAACAATTCCTAAACATAGAAACAAATTTGCACCCAGAGTTATTCCTTGTGTCTTTCTTGGTTATCCTGCTGGATACAGAGGTTTCAAAGTATATGATCTTGTTTCTAAAACCTTTCACATTTCTAGAGACATTCTATTTCGTGAAGATACCTTTCCTTTCCACTCCATCTCTGAAAATAACAAAAATGAAGATCCTTTTCATAGTGTAGTCATACCTAACCCTATTTGTGTATATTCTCCACACGACCATGGGAATAATATACCAGTCCATGCTGCTGAGCATCCTGACAATAATGCTCCAGCAATTCCTATTCTTGATGTTAATCATATTGTTCCACATGACCACAATCCACCTAAACTCAGAAGATCTAGCAGGACTCATAAAGATCCTACCTATCTCAATGATTTTGTATGTCATGTCCCTTATCAAATTTCTGAACTAGCATCATATGATAATCTGTCTACTCAATACAAGGGCTATGTCATGAATGTAGAATTTGTTTATGAGCCACAATTTTACCATAAAGCAGTCAAAATCCATGAATGGTGTACAACCATGAGTGAAGAGATAGCAACCCTAGAAGCAAATAATACTTGGACCATACAACCTTTTCCAAAAGGTAAGAAGATCATTGGGTGTAAGTGGATATACAAAACCAAGTATCATGCCGATGGATCCTTGGACAAGCACAAAGCTAGATTGGTTGCCAAAGGTTGCACTCAACAACACGACCTTGACTTCATAAATACTTTCTCACCAGTGGCAAAGCTCACATCAGTCAGAGTTGTACTCAGTCTAGCTACTGCCCAGAACTGGAAACTTGCTCAACTTAATATCAACAATGCCTTCTTGAATGTTGATTTGTTTGAGGAAATCTACATGGATCAACCATTTGGCTATCCAAGTGAGGGGGAGAACATGGTATGCAAACTCAACAAATCACTTTATGGATTAAGGCAAGCCTCAAGACAATGGTAGCACAAATTCTCCACAACTGTCATAACATATGGTTTCACACAATCATCAGTAGACCACTCTTTATTTACAAAAAGAACAGGTCAATCTCTTGTTGTCCTTTTGGTTTATGTAGATGATATAGTTCTTTCCATCCCTGACGTTGAACTTGTCCAAGAAACTCAAAACATGCTTCAGAAGCAGTTCAAATTAAAGCTCTTAGGAGACCTCAAGTACTTTCTTGGCTTAGAAATTGCTTATTCCAACAAAGAGATACACTTATGTCAAAGGAAATATACACTGCAGCTTCTCATGGATACAAGCTTCGTAAATGCTAAACCTGCATCTCTGCCTATAGATCCTGGTGCCAATTTTAATGACCAAGAAGGTCCTTTGCTCGAGGATGTCTCTCAATATAGAAGAATCATTGGCAGATTATTGTATCTGATCATTTCAAGACCTGACATATCATATGTTGTGCACAAGCTCAGTCAATACATGTCAAAGCCTAGAAAACATCATATGAATGAGATCAACCACATTTTGCAATACTTGAGAGGCACATT